AGGAAGCAGCCCGTGACAGCTGACTAACACCCAGGTACCTATTTTACCGCTAGGTAACAGGGGCATAGGGTGAAAGAAACTCTGCCCATTGTTTCTCGCCGGCGCCTGGGATCGAGCCCAGGACCACAGGATCACAAGTCCAGCGTGCTGTACGCTCGGCCGACCGGCTCCGGTGGTGCACATTGCTGTACTAGTCTGACACGGTAGTGTAGATTGTCTTGAAAGAGGTCTTATTCGTGTTGTTAAACTCCGTTCTAATGTTTGCAAGCGTCCCCTTCCGTATCTCATATCTTTTCCACTTCTTGTAGTTACCTTCCCTTTATTGCGTAGATTTTATTCTTCCTTTTCCATTTCATATCTATTTTTTTTTTTTAGGCTAGTCGAACTCTAACAGCCACATGTCTGCTCTATTCTTGGAGGTTTGTCAAGATCTTCATGTAATTATCTGCAGTTCTCTTCCTCGTTATCTTTGTGTTATGTGTAGACATTATCATATACGAGCTCTTGGGAAGACCATTTACATCAATTAAGACCAGCAATGGTCCCAAGACCCAACTTTTGGGGACATATCTTTTCACGTCACTCCAACTCAACATCTCTTACTGTGACCCTTTGTTTTATGGCCTGCAGGTACTCCCATCTTGAGGTTATCTTGAGATGATTTCGGGGCTTTAGTGTCCCCGCGGCCCGGTCCTCGACCAGGCCTCCACCCCCAGGAAGCAGCCCGTGACAGCTGACTAACACCCAGATACCTATTTTACTGCTAAGTAACAGGGGTATAGGGTGAAAGAAACTCTGCCCATTGTTTCTCGCCGGCTCAACCCAGGCGAGATCGGATCGAACCCAGGACCACAGGATCATAAGCCCAGCGTGCTGTCCGCTCGGCCGACCGGCTCCCACCGGTCGGCCGGTGGGAGTTCCTTTTGCTTGTAGCACGAGCCTGTGTTAGGAGGAAGCAAGAGTTTAGTAGTAGAGGAGTGAGGGAGAAAAGAGAGCGCTCCTCTTGACCACTCTGGGCGCTCTCCTTGAGCATTGGGCGCTTCCCGTACAGGTTCGTAAGTACTTGCGTAACTGCTTCGTGAATCTGGCCCCAGATGCGTCTACAAGTATACAAAGATGGCGGCAAGCCCGCGAGACAATGTAGCAGAGATGGAGACCAAGGTTGGCCCCTGGCATGATGGACACCTGTGTTGTCCTGCCTCCCCGTGGGGGACGATCAGTCATGATCTGCGAGCTGTACTGAGCAGCTCAGGAGTGGAGCCACCTCGCCAGGGTGACTTGTCAAGGGTGGCAGAGCTCCTCGGGTCGTGGTACAACAGGGCAGACCTGCGGTGGAGTTCGCGAGTCGATATTGTGAAAGGTATATATATGTGTGTGTGTGTTTACCTCACACATCATAGCCATATATGAGAGGGAGCCGGTCGGCCGAGCGGACAGCACGCGGGACTTGTGATCCTGTGGTCCCGGGTTCGATCCCGGGCGCCGGCGAGAAACAATAGGCAGAGTTTCTTTCACCCTGTGCCCCTGTTACCTAGCAGTAAAATAGGTACCTGGGTGTTAGTCAGCTGTCACGGGCTGCTTCCTGAGGGTGGAGGCCTCAGCGTGTTTAGCGTGATGTTTAGAGTGGACGTATTTGGTGAAGAAGGAGTGTAATGTGTAAATAAAACAGCGTCTGGTGGATAGATTTTTTATTCCTTGGGTTCTTGGGGTTATAACTAATTGTTTACGCTTCAAAGTGTAGTCAATGGCTGTTGGTCCCTATGAACGTTGCCTTTGGTAACAAGGACAGTTATATTTTGTCATTTATCTATTCTCCAGAACATTATCTACTATTATCTACATTCCATCTACTATTATCTACATTCCAGGTGGATTCTCCGTCTCTTCCCCCCCCCCCCCGGGTCAGAACATCAAAGACGTTACTGGCCATCTTGAGGCTGCGAGGTCCTCGTAGACGTCTTGAGGCTACGAGGTCCTCGTAAACGTCTTGAGGCTGCGAGGTCCTCGTAGACGTCTTGAGGCTACGAGGTCCTCGTAGACGTCTTGAGGCTACGAGGTCCTCGTAGACGTCTTGAGGCTGCGAGGTCCTCGTAGACGTCTTGAGGTTCCGAGGTCCTCGCAGACGTCTTAAGGCTGCGAGGTCCTCGTATATGACTAGAGGCTACGAGGTCCTCGTAGACGTCTTGTGGCTGCGAGGTCCTCGTAGACGTCTTGTGGCTGCGAAGTCCTCGTAAACGTCTTGAGGCTGCGAGGTCCTCGTAGACGTCTTGAGGCTACGAGGTCCACGTAGACGTCTTGAGGCTGCGAGGTCCTCGTAGACGTCTTGAGGCTGCGAGGTCCTCGTAGACGTCTTAAGGCTGCGAGGTCCTCGTAGACGTCTTGAGGCTGCGAGGTCCTCGTAGACGTCTTGAGGTTCCGAGGTCCTCGCAGACGTCTTAAGGTTGCGAGGTCCTCGTATATGACTAGAGGCTACGAGGTCCTCGTAGACGTCTTGAGGCTGCGAGGTCCTCGTAGACGTCAAAATGGTGGCAATGATCACGGGTCTTCAAGGCGGCGGTGCCAAGGTTCCCTGCCAGCTTGGCCTTGGCTGGAGCTGGAACTCCACCATAAATGGAATTATGCAAATTCACCCACTTTCTAATTGGGAAAAGGTAAATTTCAAAATATGTTTGTCCTGGTCATTTTCTTTGGTCACTTTCCCTGGACACTTTCCCTGGCCACTAACCTGGTTACTGTTCTGGTCACTTTCCCTGGTCACTTTCCCTGACCACTGTCCTGGTCACTCTCTTTGGTCACTCTCTTTCGTCACTTTCCCTGGTCACTTTCCCTGGCCACTTGCCTGGTTACTGTCCTGGTCACTTTCTTTGGTCACTTTCCCTGGCCACTGACCTGGCCACTTGCCTGGTCACTCTCTTTGGTCACTTTCCCTGGCCACTGACCTGGCCACTTGCCTGGTCACTCTCTTTGGTCACTTTCCCTGGTCACTTTCCCTGGCCACTTTCCCTGGCCACTTTCCCTGGCCACTGTCCTGGTCACTTTCCCTGGTCACTTTCCCTGGCCACTGTCCTGGTCACTTGCCTGGTCACTGTCCTGGTCACTTTCCCTGGCAATTTTCCCTGGCCACTGTCCTGGTCACTTTCCCTGGTCACTTTCCCTGGCCACTGACTTGGCCACTTGCCTGGTCACTTTCTTTGGTCACTTTCCCTGGCCACTTGCCTGGTCACTTTCTTTGGTCACTTTCCCTGGCCACTTTTCTTGGACACTGCCCTGGTCACTTTCCCTGACCACTTTTTTTTTATGAACACATTAGGCACATCTGCATTAGTGCAGCTACCCTAGACTATATGAAAGGGGAGTACAGTGTGTCAAAAAAGCTAACTACGTGAGGAGTCTATGGAGAATATTCGCCATTTTCTATACGTTTAGCCATAAGCCTATTACAAACACTACCCCCGGGGACACGACTCATTTTACACTGTGTGTTCTGTTGTGTGAAGTAAACACAGTCAAGTAACTTAATTAATGCAAGTGAGAGAAGGTGAGGGAGACGCGGACCAGTGAGTGAGGCAACATACAAGTTACCTCAAAGGGAACTTCGGTCGAGACCCCACGAGCCTCCCCCCCCCCTCTCTCTCCCCCACCCCTACCCTTACCTTTACCCTTACCCCTACCTCCCTTTCACCACAGCTGGGAATCAGCTGATACGATATTGCATCTCAGAGTCCCACCCAGCTGTTGAATCAAGAGAATTAACATCATTCCATTGGGTATATTAACATCCAAGTGTTAAACACGGGCTCACTTTAGCCCGTGCTACTTTGAACTTTTAGTTCCAGGTAGCGAATCTTAAACAACAACAACAAGTTTTAAAACCGGTTCCCTAACCATAAAACACACATTAGGGATGGTGGTGGTCGTCTTAATATTGAAAAATGGGATTCCAACTCCTTTAAAAAAAAAGAAAGCTCAATTCTTTTAAGGTAAAAGTTTGTTTAGGTAAAAATACAATTGAAATCTACTTTTTTTCTCAAGTAAATGACACCTGACGAGTCTATCCTGGAGCTTCATTACCTCCCGAGTCGTTAATGATTAACAAGAGCCTCGTTCAATGATAACTTTGGAATTAAACCATTGTTACCTACCTTGAGGCTACCTTGAGGTGCTTCCGGGGCTTAGTGTCCCCGCGGCCCGGTCGTCGACCAGGCCTCCTGGTTGCTGGACTGATCAACCAGGCTGTTAGACGCGGCTGCTCGCAGCCTGACGTATGAGTCACATATGATTGTTAAGGTAACAAAGATTATTTTCATCACACACCGCCTCCTCGAGCGTCATACTGTAGTCATATGTTACCATCTACTGATGAGTATATGCAATCATGCCACGACCGTCTGATGAACATATTCGATCATGCCACGACCGTCTGATGAGTATATTCAATCATGCCACGACCGTCTGATGAGTATATTCAATCATGCCAGGACCGTCTGATGAGTATATTCAATCATGCCAGGACCGTCTGATGAGTATATTCAATCATGCCAGGACCGTCTGATGAGTATATTCAATCATGCCAGGACCGTCTGATGAGTATATTCAATCATGCCAGGACCGTCTGATGAGTATATTCAATCATGCCAGGACCGTCTGATGAACATATTCGATCATGCCAGGACCGTCTGATGAGTATATTCAATCATGCCAGGACCGTCTGATGAGTATATTCAATCATGCCAGGACCGTCTGATGAGTATATTCAATCATGCCAGGACCGTCTGATGAACATATTCAATCATGCCAACATAATGTGGCAGGTCCCTAAGACTGGGTGCAGAAGACACCAACATAGGCGTGCTTGTGAGAGCACGAGCATGCGTGCGCGTGCCTGTATGTAAACGCAAGATAATACACCTCCTCCTCCTCCTCCTCCTCTCTCCTCCCTTGGGGTTCTTCCTTTTGTGGCCCCGGACGATGGCCCCTACACCGAGTGGGGCCCCCGGACGATGGCCCCTACACCGAGTGGGGCCCCCGGACGATGGCCCCCTACACCGAGTGGGGCCCCGGACGATGGCTCCTACACCGAGTGGGGCCCCGGACGATGGCCCCCTACACCGAGTGGGGCCCCGGACGATGGACCCCTACACCGAGTGGGGCCCCGGACGATGGGCCCCGGACGATGGCCCCCTACACAGAGTGGGGCCCGGACGATGGCCCCCTACACCGAGTGGGGCCTCGGACGATGGCCCCCTACACAGAGTGGGGCCCGGACGATGGCCCCCTACACCGAGTGGGCCCCGAACCATGATCCCTACACCGAGTGGGGCCCCGGACGATGGGTCCTACACCGAGTGGGGCCCCGGACCATGGCCCCTACACCGAGTGGGGCCCCGGACCATGGCCCCTACACCGAGTGTGGCCCCGGACGAGGTCCCCTACACCGAGTGGGGCCCCGGACGATGGCCCCGTACACCGAGTGGGGCCCCGGACGATGGCCCCCTACACCGAGTGGGGCCCCGGACGATGGCCCCGTACACCGAGTGGGGCCCCGGACGATGGCCCCTTACACCGAGTGGGGCCCCGGACGATGGGTCCTACACCGAGTGGGGCCCCGGACCATGGCCCCTACACCGAGTGGGCCCCGGACCATGGCCCCTACACCGAGTGGGCCCCGGACGATGGCCCCCTACACAGAGTGGGGCCTGGACCATGGCCCCCTACACAGAGTGGGGCCCCAGACGATGGCCCCCTACACCGAGTGGGCCCCGGACGATGGCCCCTTACACCGAGTGGGCCCCGGACCATGGCCCCCAACACAGAGTGGGCCCCGGACCATGGCCCCCTACACAGAGTGGGCCCCGGACCATGGCCCCCTACTCAGAGTGGGGCTGGGACCATGGCCCCTACACCGAGTGGGGCCCCGGACGATGGGTCCTACACCGAGTGGGGCCCCGGACCATGGCCCCTACACCGAGTGGGGCCCCGGACCATGGCCCCCTACACAGAGTGGGCCCCGGACCATGGCCCCCTACACAGAGGGGGCCCCGGACGATGGCCCCGTACACCGAGTGGGGCCCCGGACGATGGCCCCCTACACAGAGTGGGCCCCGGACCATGGCCCCTTACACCGAGTGGGGCCCCGGACCATGGCCCCCTACACAGAGTGGGGCCTGGACCATGGCCCCCTACACAGAGTGGGGCCCCAGACGATGGCCCCCTACACCGAGTGGGCCCCGGACGATGGCCCCTTACACCGAGTGGGCCCCGGACCATGGCCCCCTACACAGAGTGGGCCCCGGGCCATGGCCCCCTACACCGAGTGGGGCCCCGGACCATGGCCCCCTACACAGAGTGGGCCCCGGACGATGGCCCCTACACAGAGTGGGCCCCGGACCATGGCCCCCTACACAGAGTGGGCCCCGGACGATGGCCCCTACACAGAGTGGGCCCCGGACCATGGCCCCCTACTCAGAGTGGGGCTGGGACCACGGCTCAAACATTGAGTGGAACCCGTATAAATCATTCCACTTCCATTGTCCAAGCTGAATTATTTGATATGTTCAGTTACGCGGAGTCCCGACTGGACTCCGCCTCCCAGTCAGACCCGCCTCGCTCTCACACAGTTAAATTGTTTAAATGAACTAACGTGCGATTATCTACCTTCATGCATTACTCGTACGTTGTATAGCGACGGTCTCGCATCTTGCAGGTCGGCGTTCAATCCCCCGATGGTTTAAAAGGAGCTGGGTCCAAGTTGCGTCTTATCACAGCTCCCTGTCCGCGTATCTCTTTCCGGTGCTGTATTGTCGTATTGGATAAGCGATTTATCCGGATAATTAACTTCACTAATTTGTGTGTCTGTTCATTTTCTAAAGCCTTAATTATTGATCAAATGACAATATGGTGATTAACAAGTCTATGATAGACAGCATTTGCCGATATATATATATATATATATATATATATATATATATATATATAATTGTTACACATTTATGTATGTCTGATAACTTGCGTTGTGACAGTGTCATGTTATAGAGGAAAAGCAGTCTATCTACATCATGGAGTCTTTAATATCGTAATGTTTAATAACTGATAAAGGAATATTATCGTAACCATGTCAACCATCTTGTAGAGACTCGTGTAGTCAGGAGGTCCTCTAGTGGGCAGGTTGAGGTCCTCTGGTGGGCAGGTTGAGGTCCTCTGGTGGGCAGGTTGAGGTCCTCTAGTGGGCAGGTTGAGGTCCTCTGGTGGGCAGGTTGAGGTCCTCTGGTGGGCAGGTTGAGGTCCTCTGGTGGGCAGGTTGAGGTCCTCTAGTGGGCAGGTTGAGGTCCTCTGGTGGGCAGGTTGAGGTCCTCTGGTGGGCAGGTTGAGGTCCTCTGGTGGGCAGGTTGAGGTCCTCTGGTGGGCAGGTTGAGGTCCTCTGGTGGGCAGGTTGAGGAGCGACTGCAGGGGGGGGGGAGATGAGACATCTTCTCAGACGACTTCTAAAGACGTCTGAGAATCTACTTGAGAATGGTCCAGGACGGACCGAACGGTAGTCGTCCCTTCACCTTCTAGTGTGTGGTCTGGTCAACTTACTTTAGCCACGTTATTGTGACTCATCGCCTACGTCTGAGATCACGTCTTCTTAGACGTCTTCTAAAAGATATTCTGGATTAGATGAGAGTCAAGATGCTGCTCCAGGTGCTCCCTTAAGTGTGTTAGTAAGAGGGAGCGGACGTCAGCCATTCTCCGGCAGGTCACTGGAGAGGCTCAGTGTTATAGCTCTGTAAAACACTGAAAGGAATTAGTAAATGTGAGTTGGTTATGGATAAGATTGGACTCCATCGCCACGGATTTGGTACTGAAGGCATCGTGTTTCCTCTTCTGAACTTCATTCGTTTACTTTCTCAATTGCTATTCTGTCTCTAAAGGCTTGTTCTATCCTTAGTTAATAAGTTGTTGTTTTAGATTCAGCTACTCGGAACAAAAGTTGCAAGTAGCACGGGTTATGATGAGCCCGTAGTGGACTCTCTCTCTCTCTCTCTCACACACACACACACACACACACACACACACACACACACACACACACACATCCCCCAGGCAGCTGTTACGGGCTGCATCCTAACTCCCAAGTGCCTATTTGCTACGTAAACAGAACCATCAGGTGAAAGAACTCTACCCTATATGTTTCTGTCTCGACCGGGGAATCGAACCCGGGCCCGTAGCACTACAACCCCAGAGTGTCTCTCCACTCGACTGCGAGGACCTGTATATGTTGACACTCACTTACAGGCACTCATTACGCAGGCGATGAGTCACAATAACGTGGCTGAAGTATGTTGACCAGACCACACACTAGAAGGTGAAAGGACGACGACGTTTCGGTCCGTTCTGGACCATTCTCAAGTCGATTGTGAGAATGGTCCAGGACGGACCGAAACGTCGTCGTCCCTTCACCTTCTAGTGTGTGGTCTGGTCAACAAGGCACTCATTACGATGTGCTTGTAAGGGCGAGTGAGTGTGTGTGTGTGTGTGGAGGCCCTCTCACCCGCCCCGAGGCCAGCCATCACCCGGAAACACCAGCAAGCAGCTGCTCCAGGTCACATTATGTCACCCGGAATTAACGCTCCGACGCGCCAACACGACCCGCCCGATGCTCGCCTGGAGGAAACGAGCTGTAAGGCGTCGTACTCAAGTGTCTGTGAGTCTATATGTAACTGGTGTAGATGCAAGCGATGGTTTTGTTGATGGTATTGAAGTGCACTCAAGGGGGGGGAGTGGATGCCACTGCCAGGGTGGACGAGGCACGGGGGGGTGGGGGGAACCTTTGGAAAGGTTAGGTTAGCGAGCAAAGGCTTAGAGAGATCGCGGTAGCTAGTTCAGTAAGTAGTTACAGTCGTAGATGTGACAGGAAACGGGAAAGTTATCAGCTGGTAAGGCGGAGGTTAGGAGGTAGAACTCGACCCCTCGAAATATATTTAAGCACGCGCGCGCACACACACACACACACACACGCAAACAAACACACTGTGTTTAGGAATTCAGGAATCTATACACCAGTTGATTGACAGTTGAGAGGCGGGACCAAAGAGCCAAAACTTAACCCCCCCCCCCTCCTGCAAGCACAACTAAGTGAGTACACACACAAAACCTGGCACTAAATAACCTATACCATCCCGTACATTACCTTAGGCCTAAATCCCAACGTACCAAAATATATTCAAAATTTCCTGCACCAAATGGTCAATAAATAACCGGAACCCGAGAGCTGAAGCTCCCCAACAGACGCAGATTTATGCGTACACACACACACAAAACACCTTCCCAAGCACCAACAATCAACCCGACTCGCCCCAAACTGTTTCTAAATGTCAGGCGAGGCCTATAGTGCCACCGTCACCCCTGGCAACCACACCTGCCGGCACAATCACCAAAGACAAAACACCTTCACTGCCAACAATGGCACCACCTCCGTGGCACCTCGGCCACCTGAAATTGACTGGATGTAATCAACACGACAGGTACACTACCACCTCACCCCCTCCCTCCTGTTCTCTCTGCCCCCTTCCCACCCCCTCCCTTGTCCTTCTCATCCCCCCCCCTTTCTCTCCCACTTACCTCTCCCACCCCAATACCTCGTCATCCACCTCCCAGGCACCCTCCCTTACCCCCCAGCCCACAGTCTTCATCTCCCACACTACAAACAAAAGCACTGTCTTTGTGTGTTCTTATTCGTGTATGTGAAACGGCGAGGAACAATGGGCAGAGTTTCTTTCACCCTATGCCCCCTGTTACCTAGCAGTAAAATAGGTACCTGGGTGTTAGTCAGCTGTCACGGGCTGCTTCCTGGGGGTGAAGGCCTGGTCGAGGACCGGGCCGCGGGGACAATAAAAGCCCCGAAATCATCTCAAGATAAACTCAAGATATGGCTTTGGACCCTTTTTAGTTTTTTGACTTCTCCTTTTTTCAAGCTAGGATTCTTTTTATGGCAGGGCAGCCTATTCTAGAGCGAGTCTTGTGCAAGTTGTGCATAGAGCTTTGTCCAAGTTTCTGAAGGTTACACGGACTATGGCCAGTGTGGCATAGTTCTCTATCCTCAGTAGTGTGATGTCGTCCGCACTGATATGAAGGAACAGATCTCGTCTGTCAGGTCGTTGACATATTAAGAACAAGACTTTCCCGTCTCTCCACCCACATCTATCCGCCGTCTCTCCACCCACATCTCTCCACCGTCTCTCCACCCACATCTCTCCACCGTCTCTCCACCCACATCTATCCACCGTCTCTCCACCCACATCTCTCCACCGTCTCTCCACCCACATCTATCCGCCGTCTCTCCACTACATCTATCCACTCTCACAGTAACCCTTTGCTTCTCTCCCAGAGAGGTTACCCACCTTACGCCTCTTCCTTATATACCAGATTGTTTTCTAGCTTCAGAAGGAGTCGCTTGTGCAGTACAGTAATAATTGCTTTCAAAGTTGAGGAACATGCGATCTGACTCCCCCCCCCCCTCTCTTTTTTTCAAATTTTTGTCACGCTTTGTCGACCTTTTAATATGTTTATTTAGCAATATTTTCATTCACTAAATCGGTGCTCATGTTTAGCTCTTCTAAATGCTCCACTAGCATGCTTTTAGCTGCTTCTTAGTGACACTAGTCTATTACTAGACTGGATACTGGTCTATCACGGTCGAGCCGGTCGGCCGAGCGGACAGCACACTGGACTTGTGATCCTGTGGTCCCGGGTTCGATCCCGGGCGCCGGCGAGAAACAATGGGCAGAGTTTCTTTCACCCTATGCCCCTGTTTCCTAGCAGTAAAATTGGTACCTGGGTGTTAGTCAGCTGTCACGGGCTGCTTCCTGGGGGTTGGAGGCCTGGTCGAGGACCGGGCCGTGGGGACACTAAAGCCCCGAAATCATCTCAAGATAACCTCAAAATGGAATCTCCTCCATGAGGACAGGCTGCACAGAGATGTTAGGAAGAGGTTCTTCAGTGTTAGAGATTAGAGTGTTGTGTTAGGATGTTAGAGAGAATGTTAGAGAGAGAGTGTTGTGTTAGGCGGAAAAGTGTATGATGCTAACAATACACAATTGTAAATGTAAATACGATAATCTAGGAAACGGAGTGATTGTATTAAGCTACCGGATGGTCAAGTGGGGAGAGGCGCTAATGCTCTGTCCTGCAGGAACTCCCTCTACGCAAGTCCCTCTAGGGGAGTCCCTCTACGCGAGTCCCTCTAGGGGAGTCCCTCTACGTGAGTCCCTCTAGGGGAGTCCTTCTACGCGAGTCCCTCTAGGGGAGTCCCTCTAGGGGAGTCCCTCTACGTGAGTCCCTCTACGTGAGTCCCTCTAGGGGAGTCCCTCTACGTGAGTCCCTCTCGGTGAGTCCCTCTACGCAAGTCCCTCTAGGGGAGTCCCTCTACGTGAGTCCCTCTAGGGGAGTCCCTCTACGTGAGTCCCTCTCGGTGAGTCCCTCTACGTGAGTCCCTCTCAGTGAGTCCCTCTACGTGAGT